AAAGAAATGGCATTCATCATAAAGTTTCAGGTGTTTTGTTTTTCTTTGGACCACTTCCTGCAACGTATGGTATACTTGCATTTTAGTATGTTTTTTTAAATACGGAGTGTAGTCTATCTCAGTGTGCTTTTTCTGGTAATTTTCAATATTTGCCTTAGCTTCACGTTCTGTCTTCAGAAACTGTCTTGATTTTCTTCCTGCGTTCCATATTTCATGTTACGAATAAGTACTTCTTATGATTCAGGCCAAGCCCCAGATATGAGTGTTTCCAATGCACAGCAAAAGCTTCCCGCACCACCCCCCAGTGGGAGGCCTTCTCCCGCCCCCCCTGCTGCACAACCTGCTGCTGCCGTGCCTGGGCCTTCTGTACCACAGCCACCACCTGGACAACCTTCACCCATCGTTCAGCTGCAGCAAAAGCAGAATCGCATCAGCCCTATACAGAAGCCACAAGGATTGGATCCTGTTGAAATACTCCAAGAACGTGAATATAGGTAAAAGTGAATAACAAGATTCAAACGCATATGCAGATTGTTGTTTTTCACTTTCCCAACTGAAACTCCTTGCTATCAACTACTGTAGTGACAGTAATATAAACTGAGTTTCCAGAGAGACACCGTGTCAAAGAGAAGTATGGAAATGTCAGATCAAACAATGGTTTAATTCTGTCCCAAGTTACGAACTAGCAAAGCATGCTGACAGTGTAAGTGCAAACCATATAAATTTAAAACAGACTCAGGGACTTCTGGGTTAGTGTATTACTTGGATGCTGCAAACATGGAAAGTTGGGAAATAAAAATCCTTGTAGTCTACAGAGAAACCAATTTAGTGCAGAAAGTTTTCAGAATTACGAACAAAAGGGAAGTTAGAACAGTGGAGGTGAAAAAGCTGATGTTAGTGGGCACAGCAAAACCAAATTTTATTAGTGATGATGGGGTTGGCTGGATTACCAACTAGTAGAGAGAATATTAAGGAAATCACAGGCAAGATTAAAAAAAAAGGTTACCAGGAAGCATGATCTTTAAAAGTTGCCTCCTGAGTGCCCGAATTAGATGGTGAATTATATTTATTACAAAGTATAGAGATTGACATTTCTTGTGGCGTTAGACTTCTTCGCTCTTCCCATGAACAAGGCTATTAAACAATTGTCCTTGAGAATCTGCCAGGCAGAGGGAAGACCTGCACCTAAAATATGTCCTGATCATTATCAGTCAGAAGAAAGAAACTGCACTTAGCATATTTGCTTGTTTTGGACTGATGATGCATCTTCCAGGTCCTGTAACAATGAGTTTGTAGGGGAAGGTAGCCAAAAGGGATGGTGATCTCACTGAAGACCGGGTCAATGACTTTCACTTTAGGTAGGTAAAACACCATGAGGTGTTTTAGGATGTGACACCATGTCCAGAATCCAGGCCTCGATCCCAGAAAAGCTCTTAATTTTTTGCGCAAGATAATGCTTAAGTAATTTATTGGCAAGTTGTTGTGGTTGTTCTGTCAGTCCTACCCTTTTTACCTTAGAACTGAATGGCCATAGCTGTTTCAGTGTGAGCAATTGGTATGTTCTAACATCTTTTTCTGAAAGCTTGTAGAACACACCATTATATGGTTTCACTGCTGCTCTGGATGAAGAACTGTAGCACTAACCTGAGCCAAGACATGTGGCCAGTATAATGTAACCTCTTCTGCATCAGTTAACCTCGAATTGTTACTCCTTCTGTCTTTCCAACCCTGCTTCATTGCAATGTTTGTGCCACACTATTATGTCTTAGTATGCATAAATGGGGGAAAGTGAGGAGTGACAGAAAATAGTGGTCTTGCATTTACTAATGTGGAGAACTGGTTGCAGATACAGCATATCCATTAGGTTTGAAATACCCTGATCTTCTTGGCAGAGTAAGTGAGGTGGAAGTTAGGTAGGGATTCTGCAGCAGAAGGGTTTTATTTTTTATGGTAGCACATAGATAATGATCCAAGCTTTTTTAATGTTCAGCAGTGCTGGAATTTGGTTTTGCTTTGCATACCAGAATGCTTAGAACTTCTGGAAGTCTTTTCATTACTTAAAACTGTGTTAAGTAACATCAGGCAAAAGTATTGAAAAAAGCAGTTTAACAGCTTTTGTGCTTTGGGCTGTGCTAGACTTAGCTGTAGCGTAGGCAAATTTAATACAGAAATATGATGTACTCACGCTTTCTTCATAAAAGGGGAGTAGAAAAAAGAAAAAATACAAACATTTATATCCTAAAACCAGTGAAGTTAGAAAAAGCTTTATGAAACGCATGTCTCTTGAGATCTCTCAGTAGTTAACTTTTTTTAATAAAGGGACATTATACTTTGAAATACTTAGAAAACTGTTTGGATTACTCATTTTCATGAAGAGACAGCATTATCACATAGGTATTTTAGGGATTCATATTTCAAACACATAGATAGACCCAAAAGGCAAAATTCTGGTATACTGCCTCATTGTGGGAAAGTGTGTGCTTTGAATCTGTTTACTTTAGGAATTCTTGAAAATTACAGGTTAGGTTTACTCAGTGACTGTACTGGTTTTGGCTGGGATAGAGTTAATTTTCTTTATAGTAGCTAGTATGGGGCTATATTTTGGATTTGTGCTGAAAACAGTGTTGATAAACAGGGATGTTTTCATTACTGCTGAGCAGCGCTTACACAGTCAAGGCCTTTTCTGCCTCTCACACCACCCCACCAGTGAGTAGGCTGGGGGTGCATAAGAAGCTGGGAGGGGATACAGCTTGGACAGCTGACCCCAACTGACCAAAGGGATATTCCATACCATATGACGTCATCTTGCTCAGCAATAAAACTAGGGGGAAGGTTCGCAGTGGCCTGCTGCTTGGGGACTGGCTGGGCATCGGTTGGTTGGTGGTGAGCAATTGTTTTCATTTGCATCGGTTTTCTTTCTTGGGTTTTATTTTCCTCTCTTTTTGTTGTTTTTTCCTCTCTTTTCCTTACAATTTAAAAAAAAAAATATTTGTTTTTAATTAGTAAACTATTTTTATCTCAATCCATGAATTTCTTTCTCACTTTCACCCTTCCAGTTCTCCCCCATCCCACCGGTGGTGGAAACGGGGTGGGCGAGTGGTTGTGTGGTGCTGAGTTGCTGGCCAGGGTTAAACCACAACAGTGACCTTGAATGTGGTGTTTCTGGGCTAAAGGTGCAAAGTGTGCTGCTGGGGAGACAGTAATTTAGTGCTAATTCATGAGCTACATGATAAAAAGTTAATTCCTGAGGTGTTTGGCCATTTCTCTTGCTGTATACACACTCTCAAGTGCATAACGGCAGACTTTGGGGGAGAATACAGGCTACTGCATACACATTTCCATTTCTTACTGGATCACGTACATGATTTATGTATTCGAGCATGTCTTATACACAGAACAATTGTAAATGCGAAATACTTCAGTTTTTGCTGTTACAAAATTACATCTAACTTTTTTTTTCCAGTGATAGCAATTCTTTTTTCCATTCTTTGTTATTAGGAAGTTACGTAGTTTGTTTCATCAAACAATTCATCAAATAGGCACTGAGAAGTACAGTATAGCATTCCTATTCATTAACCACATGTTAAATAGACCAGTACAGGTGGAGAAGCAGTAATGCACCTATTAACATATTGCAGGATCTGAAAAAGCTTTGAATCTATTGAAACATCAACAGACTGCTTTTTCTCCCTGAAAGACCTTGATCTAATTATAAAAAAGGCTCCAGTGTATATTAACAAAGAGAAAGAAAATGGAGAATTAATGTTGCTGTCAAATTCATATGGTTGTGCTGAGAAGCATTTGCAGCATATGTTGATTTGAAATGAGATTATATGATAATTGTTGCTAATCTCTGTGTGACTAAAGGTGGATAAAAAGAAACGTAGGTATTTAAAATTCTTATCAATATAAGAAGTTTAAATTATTCATACGTGGAGAGCTGTTAAACTTGTGTTCCTTGAAATCTGGCCAGAACGAAAAATTCATACCGTGCTTTTATAAAACTCGTGTTAATACTTTCCTCAGAATAAAGTGCCACTTTTTAGTCTCACTGAATAGCTCTCTTAAAGCTAATAATGTGTGTAATGTAAAGTTGTTCTATTATGTGGAAGGGCTTTTTTCCACCTTCTCATTGCTAATTAAAAAAAATAACTTGCTAGTGTCCTGTAGATTGTCTGTGGTTTCTTTCTGTTATTTGCAAAGTCTCTTCTCACGTATCTTCATGGTTTACTGCATGGCATCCATGCCAGACAGATTTCAATGTGCAAGTGTAACCTCTGCTGTTGACCCTAGTTACTGAGGAAGAGGTGTGCATCATTTGTTTTGCAAGGAGATCTCTGTATAGATGCACTAGCCACTTTCTGCATGGATGAAGATAAATTGCTGAACTGCAAAAATCAATTAAATATATCCTTTAAATGGTGAGATTATATCCTTCAAGTGCTTGTAACAAGCATCTAGGAAAATGTTTTCTTTGGGTTCTGTTTGCCTAATAGCTATTAGTATTTTTCCATGAAGATAGCAATAGTCCAGCAAACTACAGTCACTCCGTTTAAAGACTAGAAGATGGCTGTGGTGAGAAACACCTCAAGTAGTTGTTGCATTCACTTGAGTTAGGATGTCTGTCATGAAATTCTTCTAAAAATCCTACTGACTACTCAAGAAAATACTACTACTATTACTACTACTGTTAGCAGCCTAGACAATATAATTAGTACTTCTAGGGAAGTCTGAAATAAAACTTCAAAACATGTTCTTTTTTTTTTTTTTTTTTTAATGTTACCCGTCTGGCTGCCATTTTTCATTATTCTTCCATATATGCGCTGTAGATTTTCATTAGTATTTAAACTATTTTGACCAGGACTTTATTTTAATAGAGAACAGACCTGAGTTTCAATGAGAGTTTCCTGAGGTAGTATCTGTACTGACTTAGAAATACTGATATTTTTTTTTTTCCTATTCCTTCCCTCTGGATGGATTATAAAAGGATGCTAATCACCCACAAAAAGAGTAGAAGTGTCATTGTAGCTCACTGCAGACCTCTGTTTTTGCAGTTGTTTCAACATATGGAGGAAAAAAGATAGGAGGAAAAGTTATCCTGGGAATACTAATCTGCCTTATAATGTAATAATAAAATTTCATGTGCATTTATTTCTGATCAGCCTTTTTATGAACCTGACTTGAGAAAAACAAAGAAAATGATTAGCAGTGTGAAGAGTCTTTTGTATGGGGGTGGACTGCTTAGTGTGATGATGGGACATAATAAGCACACTCTATAAGCACTCATTATGTTTAATCATATCTCAAGAAAGTTGTATATTTGGATTTTTATTAATAATTTATGTGACAGAAATATAAACCCCAGCCCAACTTTGGCTATTGCTTGAATTGTAAAGTGTAAACTTTTATGTCAGCAGGCACTTTCACCCATTTTATACCTGGAGTTAAAGTAACAAGCCAATTCTGGCAGAACTAATAAGTGAACATTTCACTGCATGTTTGTTTACAAAGTGACTCATCCATTTAGTTATCTAAAACCATAAGCTATGTTAGGAAGGACCTAGATTAACTTTTGGTGCTCATCCTCTTGTATAGTACAAGAAGGAACACTCAGTGCTAACAAAGAAGAAAAAAAAGTTGAAAATATGTTCACTATTCAGTTGCCTTACTAAGTTCCCAACTCAGAAGTTTGGAAAGGTTGTGACTACTCCCCTAAAGTTTCATGAAAGTCAGTGAAACTGTGATTTGGCTCTAACTGTTTTGTAGGTGAAGGTTTCAGGAGAAGCATTGCAGCTGTTTGGGGAGTGAAATAGAGTAATAATTCATAGTTGTGATGCATGATTACATCCATGTGTGAATATGCAAGAGGCAGAGCACCCATCAGTGATTTAGAACAGTATTCTTTTTGTACATCTTTGCTGCTTTTTTGTGTGTATGTACAACAGTACCTCTAATCTCCAAGAAAACCACTTAATTCTCAAGATTTTGCATCCTTAGGTGCACTAAAATCTCTTCTTAATGACTGGAATGCCCAGTGACAGGTGAAGTAGTACAAAATGTGGACTTTTTTTAGTGTAGTACATACACTTGAAAGAGCAAAATATACCAATGCAATTTTCTGAATGAATAGTTTTCTTGTGGGAATGGTGAACTCCTCTGGGCCTGGACAAGGATCTGTAGCTTTTAATGGAACTTTATCTTACTAGTAACCCTTCTTGATTTACTTTTCAGTCTGTATGAAAAAGTTCACTAACCTAATTCTGCTTCAGTTTTTTTCTCTCTTGAGGACACCAAGTTAGTCTTCTGCAGTGATGCAGCATTACCTCCTTTTAGTTGTTACAGGAACTTAGAAGTCTTTTGGTAGTGTAAAAAAATGCATAGTTTTAGGAAGTTTAGAGCTTTAGGAAGGAGTGCTATTACAGAAGAGGTATTGTCTGCAACTGTACAAGTGATTCCAGTTGCTTTTCAGATTATACATAAGTCATGATGCATGCAGTTACTGTGAGATACTAGTATTTTGATTTGTTCTGACTCCGTTTATGTGGTGCAGCCATTTTGCCTGATGTGTGAACTGCTTTCCGTCTGTGAGGCTGATATGTCAGGTGTATGAGAATTTACGTCACTGTGCTAATACTGTGGAGTGATGAGGGGCTGAAAGGGCAGGGGAAGAATGATCACAGTATGCAAAGAAACCCTATAGAAAGTGTTTTCTTTCTCTCTTCAGTTCCAAAGTCCTCATCGCAGGAAAACAGCAGCAGACAGGCTTTCCTAACGTGATCTGTTTCGTGCTTTGTGAAAGAAAAGGGAAATTTTGTGAGTCCTGTGCAGTATAGGGAGATGAGATACCTTCCTGTTCCTGGGCCTTTAGATTTTTTATTTTGGGAGAGAGAGGACTGGTATTGGGGAGGGGTAGGGGGGTGTTTGGTTTTGGTTGGGTTTTCTGGGGTTTTTTTGTTTGATTCCCCCCC